TATGAAGATAATTTTAACAGTACCCTTTCGGGTTTCGTAGCAGAAAAGGCATCATTACAAAAACTAAGAAAAATATGCCGATACTATGAAAATAGACGAGGAATAAATGTGGATAATGTAATTGCAGAACATGATGCACGTGCTGCTCAATCATATTCATTTTTCGTAAGAAAAGGTTTATCTGAAGATGAATCTTTAGCAGCAGCATTTGCAATTTCATTTTATACTGGATCGAAAAGTGAAGCATGTAGTCGAGGTGCTAGTCTAATTGCACGGCAAAGTAATGGAGTCGTTATTGACGATAAAACAGTCCAAGAACTGAGTGAAGCATCGATTATTCTTTACTATTTAGTCAAAGCTCTTTCACACATACCCTATTATTGGGGTTATGTTACACGAGCTTGTAACTTGAAAGACGAAGAATTGCAAATTTATACAGCTGGTGCTTTAATCACATGGATTCAATTTAGTAGTTCAAAGAAAGGAAAAAAAGTAGCTAGTAATGCTGATTTTGCTGGTCGAAATACATTTTTCAAAATCTATTCACTGACTGGTCGTCCAATCAAAGAATTTTCGAACTATCCAGAAGAAGACGAAGTTCTCTTTTTACCACATTCAACATTTCTCGTCTTCAGACATGTAACTAGTCATCATGGTAGTCAACATACAATTTACATGCGCCAAGTTGAGTTAGGTCTATCTGCATGGTCTATATTATGGGTTGATGATAATATATTTAATCCAGAATGGGAAAATAAAAAGCATATGGAATATGCATCAGCTAAAGAACTGAACAAGAATGTACATTTCATTCCTAAATCATCGACAGAAAATGCTCTATCATTTCTTCGATCTCCCTTCGGACAGATTCTAAAAAATCGAAATACATTTCGTATTGTTACTGATATGCATCGTAGCAATGAACAATCATCACCTCATAATGCTGGTTCACGTTTGATAAAAGCATTAAGACAACTCGGTTTTCGAAACTCATGTTTTGTATTCGCAATGCGTAAAGATATATGTGATCAAATTTTGAAAAATGAATTAAATGATCGAGAACATCAGAATGTCATGGTATCTACTAATACAAATGATTTAAGAAAGTTTGTCAGTTTTGAATGATCATTTTTTTTTCGAATTTTATTTTTCTCTTATAAGTAATAAAAACTTTATGAACAATATGATGTAGTTATAGTTCGATTCATCTTGCAAGAATATTATTTGAGAATGGATGTGGGTGTGAGTGTAAGTGTAAGTGTAACTGAATAAGAGAGACTCACACTCACCCACACCCATCATTAAAAATATCTGCTCGAATAAATACTATCTATGTTTTCACTTTTCTCTATACATTCTGACTTGTTTTACTGTATCGTAACGGTTATATTATAATTAAAGTAGCAAGAAAGATTCGTATTGAATTCTCATAGACATTTATCATTATGATTGATTTTCGGTGCATTGACACAATAACAATGGATGATTTTAGAAGGTGTGGGTTTAAGTGACAATAAAATATAAACGAAATATTCACACTCATTCATATTCTTGAATATTGTACTTTTATTTATTAAATACAATCAACAAAAAACAATTATTAATTAACATTCTATCATTCCATGGCTTTATAACTTTTTTTAAGTTTGAGTTGAAATTTATCCTGTCCACTGTACTTGTTTGTTCGTACGTACCATTTTCCTTTGAATTGGTGTTGCTTCGAATTCCAGACGACTTGAATTGTAACGTCATGTCCAAGATTCTGTATAGGATTGCCTGTTCCTTTTTGATATGTCTTTATAAGACCCATTCGATTGGTTCTTGAAGAATAAATACCTTCAATGGTGTACACACCGACATCATCAGATCCATTACCTGTTACTTTCTGCGTTTCAGAATCGAATACAAGTGAAAAACGATAAGGTCCATGCCATATATTATATTGATAATATTGACACGACCAGACGCCTGATATAAATTGGTTAGATTCTTGCAATTCGACTTCATTTGATGGCAAATCTACATAAGTCGCATTCGAATGAGTTGGGCTACCTTGCCGCCGTATGTAATAGCAAGCTATACCAAATATGATAAGAAGAAAGCCTACAACAGCATATTCTGCAACAGTATCTTGTTGTTGACAAGTGCTATCCGTACAATTACGCGCGCTACGATACGAAGAAAAACCTATAAACAATGAATATATATCAAAATTATTTATTAGAATATTTTAAAATAATCTTCTGTGAGAGAGAGAGCCTTGGATAGTAAATAGTGTTCTGTCAGATTAGACGTTATTTCGTATTGTAAACGTGTTATGACGTCAGTATTAAACATCTTAAAATATTGGATAATTCCAGCCGAATAAAAAATACTATTCAGAGACGAAGAAAATAATGTTCCACATTACTTCGAATTTTTCTATGAAACAGAGCTCCGTACATGTCTAGTAACTATAGAACAAAATCAAGTTTGAATAAACATTATAGATCTATTTCATCATGTCAATATCCTGAATTTTAAAAGAATTCGATCCGATTTTGTCGAACATCAATAATTTTAATAAAAAACACTTACTTCGACTACTTCGGCTACGGCTACCACCTCTACTACCACCACCACCTTGACAATAAATGGCAGTTGTAAGAACTGCAATGATCAGAATAATACGAAAAATAATGCTCATTGTGTCTTGCTTAAGTAAACTTTGATCTAAAAATTTTTAAAAGTAACTTTAAATACTGTTTATTTTAACTGCAATGCGTCAAATCAAATGTTTTTATACCAAATAAACAACATGAATCAGAAATTAGATTTGTTCTGTCACGCGTCATTGGTTATAAAGAATGAAAAACCTGATGAAATAGAATAGCAATCATTTTATACATACGTTTGCAATTGTGAGAAAAAAGAGAAAATTATAGTATTTTTGGTTATCTTCGTCGAAAAATATAATATCTAACAGATGAATGACAAACATTTGCATTTATAATTAGAGGTGTAAGCCGATCGGTTAAGTCGCCGCCGCCGACGACAAGCGAAAAAAATGATATACTTTTGGGCCGCCGCCGTCGGCAACCGAGAAAATTTTTAAAATTCGAGCTTCCGCCGGTGACATCTGTATCTTAATTTGATTTTTGCATTTTGTATTGAACATACAATATGAAAGGATGTAACAGTTGTTGCCTATACTTTTTTTGAACAGATTATGAGTGATATATTGAAATAAAGATATTTTTTAATTTGGAAAATAGTTTTCTTTCCATAAGTTTTCTAGCCACCGCCACCGATCGACTCATCGGCTTACACCTCTACTTGTAATGTCTGCAGCATTTTCTCTTAATCGTTCGGTTAACTGAAAGACCTTTTTTTATTAAAGTAAAGCACTTGAAATTCTGAATCAAACAGTATACTTTATTTTTCCAACTAGATATAGTTTAATGATAAAATCAAATGCACAATGTAACAATTTTTCCTGGTCGATTATCGCTGTTTTTTGTTTTCCGTAGTTCATAATTTTGTATTTGATCGTATTAAGTTTTATAAAAAATTGTAAGAGTTATATTTTGTAAGTAAAAGATGTTTGAATTTAGCAAATATTATTCAGTCTCCTACGATGTGGATGGAAATTAGGGTATTTCAGTGATTTTCATAAATCCACATGTACATTGGTTGGATATATTGCTCTTAAACGCTGAAATATTATTCAATGATCTTGAGAGTATGAGTGTAGATATTTGCTACATACAATATGGACACATAATTTCATCGACATCTTTCCTCACTGAAAATATAAGCTATGTTATTTTATCAAAAATTGAAATTATTCTGTCAAAATTTGTATGAGCATATATAGATATACAGATAATCGAACTAGAAATAAGGGTGTGTGGGTGTGGATGAATTAAATACTCACACCCACCCACACCCTATTAGCCAGCTTTGCAATGAATAAAGCAATAAATAACTACCAAGTAAAGTTAAATATTTGACTTTCGTTTAACTGTGTCTCTTAAAAATTTCTAACAACAGAATATTGTTATCATCCATCTCTGTTGATACTATCTTTCACATTTATCTCAGTTTAGGAAGAAACGAAAATTTTTAGTTTCGTTCGATGTTTTCTACTAAGCATGTAAAACAACACAAAAAAATAAGTGAGCAACTTTTTTATACTACGAATAAATTCAGGCAGTTGTCTTGTAGTTTCTTATTCTGTCGTCAGTATCATCTTCAACGTGGTGGATACCGATCGCGAGTATTTTGTTCTAAATGTTTTGCAAACCGTATAAGGCTAAATTATATGAAGCATCAAAGTTCGTATTTCTTCACATTTGGATGTAATTATTGCTTCATTTAACAACATATATGTTACACACTAAGTATTGCAAATTAGAGAAGATAATACAAAAACCGTTACAAACACTGTTAGAAAATGATTCACATTTGAAACTAAGAATTTCTGTATAACCAACGATTATTATGCAGTCGTGTACTGTTAGATGTTAATTATATATAGTAGACCTTTCGAATTTCTTTATCATACTTCTCGTGACGATGATTTGACCTTCTGAAAAGATCGGAAAGCTTCGAAAAGTCGGGTTTTCCTACAGAAAAGTCTCACGAATTGATAGAAAGAGGAGACACCTACATCCGCCCCGTCCACACCCACACCTACACCCACACCCTCAACTTGGCTTTGACTTTCTAAATATTGTACATCAGTCAATACGTCTAAAAGAAATATATATTAATAAACAATTATAAAGCTCTTAATTATTATTTACTGTTCCATCTATTCATGCGGAATGAAAGATTTGTGCGTTCAATATAATATTGAATGCGTTTATCCTGATCTAAAGTGTTATCAATTAATAAGTTCAGTTTCTAAAAATGAAAAACAAAAGAATACTCTAATATTAATAAGTATAATCTTACCTCTAAGTCATTTTGTTTAAGTTGTTCATTATGGTGAACAATTTTTGAAGCCGCCATATGACTTATTTCAATTGGTTCACATGGGTGTGGGTGTTTCTGATAATAAATATATATACGCGTATATTACTGCTATGAAATACATAAAAAAATTTATCAAATTTCATAGGCTTAATATTTTATTCGAACTTTCGGTGTAACGAACACCATTATCAAGAATGAGAGAAAAATATATATACAATAAAACAACAATGATGAACTTAATTGTTATTTTCTCAAGTTGCCCTATTGATTTAAAAATAACATCGCCATACTTACGATGAGTAATAACCATGAAGTCATTGGGAACAGTAGTATTAAAAAATGAATACATATAGGTGTATATTACTGCTATGAAATACATAAAAAAATTTATCAAATTTCATAGGCTTAATATTTTACTCGAACTTTCGGTAGGGTGTGGGTGTGGATTCTTTATCCATTATACGCCCACACCCATACGATATATTCATTTCAAGAATATCTTCCAAAAATTTATATCGAGGGTGATTTTAATATGGGATTAGATACAAAATTATTTGATGGAGATAAAGAAACACAAGAATATCGACAGCAACTTACAAAATACGCTTTATATGATTGTTTGTCAATGCAAAGAATAATTATATTCATGGAAGAAAAGAGTTTTAAATGTGAACAAACAATTAAACCATCTGTTGAACCAAAAGTTATTTTATCTTTACCAAGAAATTGAACTCATGAAGATGATGATAATAATATCTATGAACAACAAAGAAAAAAATCATGAAATCAAATTAACCCAACAAATGAACCAACTGCTCCATCTAGTGAAATTTTTGAACAAAACTATATATTATCAGTTGAAGATCAGTCGATTGTTAACAAATCAGAACAATTACATAAACAAGTACCCGAAGAAGAACGAAAAAGAATTCACAATCGATCTTGTGCAGTGAAGCAAAGACGACGATATTATACAAACAAATTAATCTTCCATAATGTATACCATCGATTTTCAATAAAACAAATGAAAAATATTCTTAAACAAAAACAAATTCTAATATACGTGGTTCAACCGAAAAAATCATCAACATACTCTACATGTAGCAGTCCGCAATCCTGAACGCATGCGATCAAATGAACAATAAACACAAGGATTCTTCACAAGA